CAGTGAGGGTCCATTTTGCACTCGTAGGAGTCATGGTCCTTGCCACCACAACGAGCACACGTCACAGAACCACGACAAGATGTACTTTGAGTGACTGAACCACTGACACTGAAAACATCGGAGTGGGTTGGGAATATAGGGCCGTATCTTACAGTTCAAATAACCTGCCTTAATGGCGGCAGGTGGACGTGGGGATGAAAACGTCAAAATCAAAACTGAGGTCGGCACCATAATTCCATCTTGACGAGTGGAGATCCTTCGAACTGCCGAAACTTCTTGGTTGGAGAAACCAACAAGGATCTCCGACTCGGGGATAGATTTCAAGTCCCTTTCAACGATAACTCCTCGTGAGGAGTTCAAGGAAGCATGGGGAGTAACCTCACTGGGTATATCCCCAATGGCCTTTGAATTCAAGAGGAGTTCACTGTGCTTAGCTGTGGAAGTTTCTACTAAGATTGATGACCTGAAAAAATACAATTGGCACAATCCCATTCGATCTCACACCTGCTATGTCTCCTGGTGTATTTTCAATGGAGTTTTTTGTGTCTTTGGACTGTTGACATTTCTTAAAAACAAACGTCCACGGAGCTTCTTAACTGACTTTGGAGAGCCAGCAAGCCCCTCCAAGCCCTTCTGAATAAAAAAGGGAGACATTTGCCATAAAGATTTATCAGACAGTGAATGCAGGATCAAAAGCGAGGTACAGGTGTACTTTTTGATGGAGACTGCTGTTCAGAGTCTTCTAGGCATGGTCGTTTACCAATTAGCAGATTTTGAACATTTTTTTTATTTGGAATTGGGGATCCATAATTAAAGAGAGAGGTTCAATGCCCACTGACCCCACCTGCCATGGAGTCCTACGAGGGGACGCACTACAATGTCAAACAAGGACACTGCAGCAACACCAGGGTTTCATGAGCACTATACCCAAACACCAGTATCAGACACGATGTCCATAACACCCGTTGAGAATGCCCAACACTGGTACTCAGTTGACCCTAACCCCAGTGGACCAGCCGATTGAACCTAGAGGCCACCTCAAGGCCACCCGTCTACAGGAATTCAAGGCCAAAGTGGTGTGTTGCAGTGCCCAGACACCACTCAACCACCAGGATCCTCTCCTCCCCTTCACGGGTCGCCACGCACGGCAAACACGTGAGTGGATGTTTAGATCCCAGAGGAAGTAACTGAAAATACAGAACCTTCCCTGGGAGGTCACCTCACCACGTACAGGAATCCACGTCGAGGGGGAAGATACAGAGAGCCTGAGTAGAGAATTTTCGTAGCTTGTTGGTCATATGACAATACATCTGAAGTTTTTAAGTAGTTTTTAAAGGTTTATTTTGAAATAAATGACTTAAAACTTATATAAAACTTCAAATCAAGACATACATTATAATATTAATTTTATTAACATAAACTGATAGTAAAGGTGTTTAATTAAATTTTGAATGAAACACAGTGACTTGCTCAGAAAATCATTTAAAGGGTTAACTATAGTTCACTAACTTTTACTGGTTTCTTTAACATGTGGAAGCTGTTAAGATGGGTGTCAATGAGTTTAATAATGTAATTTTCAAAACCTGTCTCAGAAATTCAGTAAATTAGAACCTTCTCTTTCTATTGGTTATAAATAACCTAACAGCAAACGTCAGAGAGAATTACTGACAATTTTGAAAGACAGGATGTGATAGGAGGTGGCATGGCATCTGGGTTTCACTTTCTTTTTAATATCTCAGTAAAGAAAGAAGCTTGGAGACTAGAAATTTATGGCTTAGCAATATCTATAGTATAAGTGTTTAGTCTGTGCCAAACTTAGAAAATAATATAGTGGTAGAAAAAAATCTAAAAACAATTTGGAGAAAAGAAGTATCATATGACACAGAGAAATGAAGATTGAGAAATCAAGAAATTAGAACTTAGAAAATATTCAAAATGGAATTATGAACTACATTTTGATGTAAAGTCTATTGATATAGATTGATAATAAAGTTGTTTAATTAAATTGTTGTTTAATTTTGAATTTGATTTATAAACAGTTATATATATATGCACTTTGACCCTCACCTGTAAACGAAGGATTAAATAATATTTTTTTACATTTAGAATATATCTTAATGATGTGGTATGAAAAGAAAGGATGGAAAAAAAAAGTATACACTCGCATAATGTTTATTATCTGTTTTTCTATATCTAATGAGAAAAATCTTACCAACTGTACTCTTGCTGTTCTGAAGGAATAAGACACTTCTTGAGATTCTGGAAGGTCTTCAACATGCACTAGAAAAATTAATACTCAGAGAATTGGAATAGATACAATTCTGGAATTTCATTTAGTTCTTAAAAAAATCTCATTACAATCCAGTTTTAAGGTTTGAAAAGATACTCATTCATTTTAAGACAATTTTAGACCTTTTCATCTGACACTTACAAAAGACATGCTGACTATAGTATTTTGTAAAATTTATTCTTATCATTGTTCTCTGACACATTAAAAGAAAGTACTTTTTTTTTACTTTGTCTTTTTTTGCTAAACATTTGTCATTCATAACAGAACCTACTATGATCTGATTCTTTTTGTTTCAGACTACCAATAATCCCAGAACTGCATCCTCCTAAGCTATCAGCCTTTGATGAGATGCAATGTGTAGATTCAATACCAGAAGGAAGCTGCTTCCATCCTTGTTTAACTGTTTTCCGCTTTTCTGGCAGCAGAGCTTTTTCACTACAATGGTTAATGTCAACTTGTTTAGAATAGTTGTTTTTCTGACTTACAAAATTCTGACTGGATGCAGATTCTTGATCAATTTTAAACTGATGGATAAAATGTGTTTCTAGAGAATGACTTTCAGCACTGCTTGCACCATGATAACATTCTTCAGTTGCATTCATACCTGGTTTAGTTAATGATTCAGAGAAGTTTCTTGATGATGCAGAATAAAATACAGTCTCTTTCAGGAAATGCTCTTTCCCTGATTCTAGTATCTGGCGTCTGGCAAAAGCATTTGCTAATTGTGATAAGTCATACTCTGAAGGCCTCTAAGAGAGAAAAGGGTCTTTACTGATATAAATGAAAAATCTATGTAATTAAAAGAACAATGTGTGTCAGTCAGTCTGTGCTTGTATGTGTAATAGCTCATGCATTGTTCTATACGAGTACAAAACTACGACATTTATAACATTAACTTTAAAGACAATTAATTCAGTAACAGAAACAAACATTAAGTTAATTCTCTGATTTTCCATGGCTTATAAGTAACACATACCATTTTATCTCAACACAAATTCCAACATGTGCCTAGAAATTGACATTTAGGTCTACAGTTCAAATGCTCTTTGTACACGAAGAACAAGTTTACCAACTAGGGAAATACAATATTACATCATTTCCATTACTGGTGGTAGTGGACTTGACACTTTGTTAATACTTTAGGAGAGAGTAAAAAAAAAAAAAGAGTTAATACCATTATGGAAGGAAAAAGAAAAATGTGTGAAACAGCAACAAGCAAAGACAGTTGATTTTTACACTTCTTGGTACTATAATTTTAAATATCTACCATTTTTTAGTGTCACTTTATCAAGAGTTCAGTCAAGACAAAATCTCTAGATCTTAGTTAAAAATGGCAATTATGCTCAAAGACAAGAAGTTTGTACAAAATATGCTGTGCATAGATATATATTTCATTTATAGCCATTCCATGTTTTTACTTATATTAAATCTAAATACAACAACTCCATATTCTGTTAAGGAGGTTTTTGTTTCATTCATGTCCAACTACATAATGCAACAGCATTGTTTAAAAGATTTATCTATTTAAAACATATACCCTTCTCACATATACAGCATTCCACTTAATAATATTGCATACATGAAAAAAACCTTTGGGTTTTTGTCTCAAGTGGCACAGCACATGCTTCATATGCAGGAGGTCGAGGATTCAATCCTGTCTATGTATAATTTTTCTCATTTTTGTTTCTAAGCAATGTTTCAGTAATCACACAATTTTAATACATACATCATATGCAAAGCATGAGTTTATTCCCTAGTAAATAAATTAAAAACATAACAGATAATTACAAACACAAAACATACTTTAGTCACAAACAGACCTATTTGTACTTATTTCTCAAGAACCATCTACAAAGTAATAATTCTTGCAAGTGTAATAACCATTTTTGGTGGCCTAACTAGAGACTAGTTTTTTAAAACCTGTTACTCCCTATCAGAGACCTACTTGGATCCCATTAAGCATAACCTTTAAAAATAAAATCAGATCTTTCAAAGTAAATTTACACAGTTCTAATACATGAAAAAAATTGCACATTAAACTGTCACTGCTCAGTGTTAGAAGACTAAACAAGAAACATTTACCTGAGATGGAGATGATAATGTTTTTATTAACTCTTGAAGTTTATTATCAGATAATATTTCCAAGGATGATTTCCACAGCTTTCCATCTAAATATTATAAAACAAACTTAACCTGTTTCTTTAATTTTCACACACACACACACACACACACACACAAGTTCTCACAGAGAGACAAAGATGAGTATACTGAACAGTAAATATACTAAGACTAAGAGCAAGTAAAATGCTTCTTTTTTATATAATGTAACAACTTGTTGATTTAAAATTTCACTTAGCCAAAAAATAAAAGAAAAAGGACCAAAAACTTTAGATATTTAATTGCAACAGCAAAATATGACATTTTTAGGACAATATACTTTTGTTTCAGTATTATGTGAATGCACAAAATAGTTGTCAGTATAAAACCAATGCTGAACACTATTTGCTAATCATTTTTAAGCTTCATCTTCATAAAAAATGTTCTTTACTAAAAAAAACAAAAGGGTTGATCTACCTATCTTTTTCTGAGCAACTAAAGCTAGGGCACCTTCAGCAAAGTTGTTCAATCCTGAAGAAAACAAATAAAAGAGTAACATAATAATAAATAAAATTTAAAATTACTCACTTCTTACATTAGGAAAGTAATGAGCAAACTTAATAATATTGTAATATTTTCAATTCATAATTTTAAAACTGCTATGATCGTAGATAATTTATTAATTTTAAATGAAAATGTAGATTATTCATAAATATTTTATTGTATTTTAAACAAAGCTCAGTGCTGATATAAAGTCAATCTCATATGATGTTTAGATATCATACTCATAAAATTAATTTATATTAGATTTGTACACTAAGTGCAGAGAAGTGCATATATTTATAAACTTAAACTTTGTCACTGATACACTGCTTTTAATCCTCAAGTTGTTGACTTATTTTTATACCATTAACTAATTGTGGGGTCCACACAGTGCAACATATAGAATACTTTTTTGTTTGTTACAACACTGAATACAAAAGAAAAATGAAATAAATTTGGGACAGAAGTAGTCTTGCAAAATGTGTTAAAAACCTGGTCTTGGTCAATATGGACTCATTGATAATTCTATAGTTAAGATTATATTTCCTAAAACATTATCTTAAATGATTTAATGATTAGTATTTTCAAAATCCAAACTCATCACAACTAAGAATGTTAGTTTTGTGTATCAATTTAAATCTTAAACAGGGTTTTCCTTTTTTTTTTAATACAGAGTAATTTATTAAATGTTTATACTGGTCTAAAATGTATTATCTAAAGAAACACTGTTCACTGAAATATTTCTACCAAAGATGTCTGGAATACCTAAAATAAACTTTATGAAAACCTAAATTAACTAAGTCTAGAAAACAAAAACAACTAAACTCCAAACATAAAATTACCTTGTTTCTAACTACAATCTAAACAATATCTGTTAACAGAATTACATACCATTTTGATCATCTACAGTTTCAGTATACTTTTCCAGGTAATCTCTAAAAAGAATTCCAGCACAAGCTGACGAAATTCTGAAAGGATTATGCAGGTCAAACCACACAAATGATAATAAAAAGTAACCAATAAAAACATTCACTGCATAAGTTTATGAATATTAGAGCTGGGCAATTAATTCAGTTAATCAAAACTATAAGTATATCAATTAATCAAACATAAATATTTAACTAGTGTTTCTAATTATTATCATTTTAGGTTATTTCAGTTATCCAGTAATCAAGATATTGCCTATATAATTTTTCATTATTTTCATTTAGTTCAAGTTTCTTCAGCTTAATCAGTTAGTGTAATCTATATATTACTAAAACTCTGAGATTGTTTGTTTGCTTGTCTGTGATTAAATACAGCAAAAATGGTGCACAATAGCACCATATTTGTAATGAAATGAGAATAGAAACAGAATAAAACAAGTTTCCTAAAAATTGGGCCACGGGTTACTGAGTTAGTGCCATTTTTCGGGTGACTTTTCATACATTCCATTATTATAAAACTTCGTTTTCCACCTGATGAATCACTTTAAAATATCTTATATACAACAATATATGCACAACAGAAATTAAATGATGAGATGAAA